ATTGTGCTATAATCGAGGAGAGAAAATTTGGAGTTCCTTAATTCCAGGGTGTCTGATTGCAAATTGTTCTGTCTTAGCCTTTAATGTTTCTGTCTTAGCCTTTAATGTATTTGTTCTTGTTGCAAGTATGTTTGCCTTAACCCTTAACCTGTGGGTTTTGATTACAAATCGTTCAGCTTTCACCCTCAATGTAACCCCCCCCCCCTTTAAGAGATGCCTTGGAAGAATATCTGGCAGAACTTGAGTTCGAGTCTGGAATTTAGGCTGAACGGTTTTGGGTACAATCAGCTTTGACACGTACCTGACTTGAGCGTGCGGTGTGAGTAAAGTCTGCTGGACATTATGCTGACCACACGATCTATTCATACGCCGCGGTCACTTTATCAGATAGACTGAGGTATTTGACTGCGGTGTTTCTTCCAGACTTTTTTTTCCGGGGGGGGGGGGGGGGGGGGGCACCAGAAATTTTCGGGGGGGGGGGGGCGGTAAACTTTCTTCGGGGGGGGGGGGGGGCGGACACTGTTAAAAGTATATATTTTCTATATAAATTATATAAATTTCATTTCGTTCGGGGGGGGGGGGCGGTAAAAAATTTTCGGGGGGGGGGGGGCTTCGTCCCCCCCCCCCCCCCCCCCCCCCCCCCGAAGAGATGCCTGGAAAAAACTCTGTTTGACTGTCCCTCTGGACCGACATTTACGGCTGGGCATGGTGCTGACCACACGACCTCTTCATATGCCGAGGTCAAAGAAACAGGTAAACTCTACTTCACTTGCCCTATGGACCGTAAGTTTCGAAAGGGGAACTTTACCTGGACCGACACGTCATATAGAATACTTTATTAAACATCGAAATATTAAAATTAAGAGCGAAGAAAAAGAAGAAACAAAAGAATGTTACTTAACAACGAGTGAAAATAAATGCAAACATGTGTGTTCTTTCAAGAAATTGAGCCGGACATCAAAACAACCTAATTTGCGTAAAAAAATCTTTGACTACAAATAGGAGGTTGACACGGCAGCTATGTAGAACTGAAAACACATTAGCTATTGTCTCGGTGCTAGAATTGAAAATAAAATTTGTAGAAATTACTCTATAATAATAAGCTTGGAAATAAACGAACATTATTTAGAGTAAAATAACAAAAATAACAACTTTCATCGAGTACATTTTAGCGACCAACGCTGTTACTTGTTATTATTTTATTTTATCAAAATAGATAAACAGAACCGTTTTAAAATTAGAAATTATAAGTTCTTTTCTTAAGGCGGTGTTTATAGTTTAGCGGCGTTTATTAAATAACTGACAATGGGCCCGACATGTATAAAGTTGTAGTGAGCTAAAAGTAGTTGAGTAACTCCGCTATTTTACTCTGCTATTACGATGTCTTTGCTAGATAATGTATTGTTTCAACAAAACAAAGATTTTCCAAAGCATTTAAAAAAGATTCTATTTTATAAGACTTAATTAATTATGTCGATCACCTTCACTTAAGTTGGATGTGGGTTATCTCTAAACCAATTAATATTTTCAAAATTCCAGTATAGATTGGGGGTGGGTGGAGGGGCGTGGAATGAGAATAGAGGGTCTCGCAACCACCTTGAATTTGACCTATAGTTACGGCGTCCATCTGCTAGGGTCAACTGTTTACCTGAATGTACAGTTCAGTCGACACCTGGTGCCGTTAAATTCACACCCACACACGACATCAACGGCAGCGAGATGACGAGATTCAAAGGTTTCCCAACACGATTGCCGTCAACGTGGGGTCACTATGACGACTGGGAGACCTAACAATGGCGACCAGGGGTCAGAACAAAGGCGACTTGACCCAGACATGTTTGAGGTACGGTGGGTGGGTGTATTGTACCTGTGGGGTCAACGAGTTCACGTTAGGCCCGAAATACTGCGGTCGTCTGCTAACCGGGCTTGGAATTACATATCCATGTAATGATATAAGAATTGCATACGTAGCAGCGCTAAACGAAATTTTAATCTATGCAGTCTAGTATGTTAAAGGATGTATAAAAATGTTAAAAAAAATGTGTTTAAAATGTAAAATATAATAGAAACACAACAGCAGCATAACCGTATAGTGTGTGTTGAGTATTTTGTATCTGTCAATAAAACTGTGACGATTTGGTAAAATGTTCACTCTAAGAAGAAAAGGTTAATGTGCAACGTGTTGTATCGTGCGCGGCGTTCTTAAAGTCTTGTACAAGGATCGAAGTATTTTACAAAATCTACAAGGATCGAAGTATTTTACACAATATACAAGGATCGAAGTATTTTACAAAATCTACAAGGATCGAAGTATTTTACAAGATATACAAGGATCGAAGTATTTTACAAAATATACAAGGATCGAAGTATTTTACAAAATGTACAAGCATCGAAGTATTTTACAAAATGTACAAGGATCGAAGTATTTTACAAAAAGACTGCGCGCAGGTTCAACTAACCTACCTCGCGACCGCATAGATCAAATCTAAGATTAGGATTACGTTTAGTGCTATCGTCTGGGAAAGGATGAGGATTTGAGTTAGCGCCAGATGTTAGATTTTTGTGGGCATGAGATAGCCAGGGCTAGAGCTAAGGTATTAACAAGCATAACAGGGTTTGTCGTATAACCTGCTTTATACAATACCGATGATATAGAAACACAAACCATGAAGAATCGGCCTCATCCCTCGCTATATCTGCTGAGTTCCTTTTTGAAAATTAAAATTTCATTATTAGACAATAGTTCCGTATGTTATTCTTTGCATACGGAATTATCTTACAGTGTGTATCCACTGTCTATCATAAAATGGCATGAACTATGTTTGTTCATATTTGAGCGTGCTGTGTGCTTTGTGTGAAGGATTGGGGATACAATATAATGCAACTACTGTGTCGCAAATAAAGTGTTCAAGAATTTAGGAATCTTAAGAAGGAAAGTGTTTTGTTTGGGTAAAGGGGTAGGGGTGGGTGTGTATGGTTGTGTGTGTGTGTGCGTGTGCGTGTGTGTATGGTTGTGTACGTGTGTGTGTGGAGGGAGAAGGGGGGGGGGAAGGCTAAGAAAAGAAAAGGAACTGAGATGCTCATTAGTGTAAAAATTAGGGGGGGGGCTATAACCTAATTATCTCTTCTAAATCTAATTACTTTTTTTGTATGAATCGAGTATAAAAGAAAGGATGTCTATGTTTTAAAAAATGGTTGGATGATATTGGCACGATGACGCATACATTGATTTATCTTAAGGTTTTTTTTTTTTTTAAATGATTAAAAAAACCTCAGTTTTTCCATTGCTAATTAAATAATGAAAAGAACAAGTATTAAATAAAACAAAAATTAATTAATTATAACGAAACTGCGTAAGAAATACTTTCTTATACCAAAATGCTTTACTATGAATAAAATTATTTCCATATGGCTCCAATACATATTTTTATTCCAAAGCATTCTCGAAGAATTAAAATAATAAAAAAGATTCGTTTCTTTATCCATTTCATATTTTGAAATCTTGTTATCTTCTGCATGTTGTATGCTTATCTTACACGATCGCCTCCACAAACAAGGGTGTGTGAGGATAAACAGTTTAGTTGTTATCGTACGTCAGTCGCCTCATACCCCGGGGGTCGTCCCGTAACCCACGGGTCGATCACCCGAATTGGTTCACTGACAAGAAGAACGAGCGACGATCACCGCTCACCCCCCACAGAACTAACGGTGCCACCGTCGCCGCCATCTTTAACGATCGATAACCCGCCTAACAAGCCACGCCTCCCGGTGACGCGGCCCTCATTAACCAACGCCCCCGATTGGCTGAACGATCAAACCGTTCCGCTGTTTCTGGAAGCTGAAGCCTGGTTGACATATTACCCCGCATCCGCCCTCTCTATTGATCCCCCCTCCCCTGTACAATCAATAAAGCGCCCAAACAACCCTCCGCCGATTCCAGACTGGCTATTGGCCGCGGGTTTCTGTTGGATAAAACCACCTCCCCCCCTTGTCACCGTTCTCCCTGCCCCCATAGCATCCTCCCACGTCCGTCCCTCCAGCACTCTGGCTTCTCTTGTCACCGGTAGTGCCGGGCACCGACAGGAATTCCGCCAGGGAAATTGGGCTTCGGCCTTTACGGAAACCAGGCCTCAAACAGGATAATTGTGAGGGGAAGACGGGAAGGAAGGTGCTCACACACACAAGGATTTTCACGGGAAACAGGTGTAGCTGCCTCTACCGGGCCTTCCTCTTCTGCTTGTGTTGCCCATTTCTATGGGATTTTTTTTTCTCCTTTTCGTTTCCCGTCTTAGCAGTAAAAAAAAAAATTTTATGATTGTGAAAAACTTTTGGCGTGATACCGGGAAGGATTTACTAGCCAAATATTGACGCATGCTAATTGATAGATTTAAAGGTAAATATTTTCACTTATTATGATTGTTTTACTAGCTCTCGTTAAGAATTTATTGAGAACCAGTTTTACTATTTCATCTAACCGCTCTTCTAATAAACAAAATTATTTTCTTTATTTTTTTTTAAATTAAAAAAACAAAAATATTTGCAAAATAAATTAAAAGTAGCCCCGGTGAACTCTACTCGATCTACACCACCGACATCCAAGTCCACGATATCGTTTTATTTTCAAACAGATACACCTTAACTTCCTATTTGGAAACTATTTTATAACATGTTACTAATCCATCTAATCCAACTTTCAGATTATCAACAAGATGACCACGAAGACGCTGTCTGGATAACATTTCAAATACGTGGCAGAATTAAACGACAGCCCTCAACTTTAAATAAAGATGGAAACCACTCTCGTTCAATAAATAAATTTAACTTCAAAGATCGAACTTTAATTAACCCAATAACGGTGGCTTCGGTCATCGGAATTTTCTACATGAAGTCATGTTGATACATTCATTTAATCAACACAAACCTAAAGGTCCAGCTATGAAGGGGTTAATCAAGTCTCACTACAGGAAACATCATACGGGAATTGCTTTCTGAGACGGCGCTAGTGTTCCTCAAAATCACGTTTTCTAACATATACTGCCATTCACTACATATACTATTTGTTCCTTGTCTTTGTGTACAAGCGAAGTTCCAAAACTTTGGATTGTTTAACCGTGAGTTGGGACGTTGAAATCATTGAGCGATTGAACTGAAGATTTTCCGTGTGAATAGAGTAGGTAGCTGTGGCTCATCAGTATAGCAGGTAGCTGTAACATATCAGTAGAGTAGGTAGCTGTGACCACCTAAGGCTACACCATGCAGGGACTGATGCAGCCTGATTACTACAGGGCCTGTAGCACCTTTTCCTCGCTACCTGGCATGATGTTTCCAGGTGAGTGATATACTTTATACAGACCTAATCACAATATGAATGACCATAGTCATACTTTATACAGACCTAATCACAATATGCATGACCATAGTCATACTTTATACAGACCTAGTCATACTTTATACAGACCTAGTCATACTTTATACAGACCTAGTCAAAATATGCATTACCATAGTCATACTTTATACAGACATAGTCATACTTTATACAGACCTAGTTATACTTTATACAGAACTAGTCAAAATATGCATTACCATGGTCATACTTTATACAGACATAGTCATACTTTATACAGACAGTCATAATTTACACAGACCTAGTTATACTTTATACAGACCTAGTCAAAATATGCATTACCATAGTCATACTTTATACATACATAGTTAAAATATGCATTACCATAGCCACACTTTATACAGACCTAGTCAAAGTAGGCATTACCATAGTCATACTTTATACATACTTAGTCAAAATATGCTTGACCATAGTCATACTTTATACACATTTGGTCAAAATGTTGTCCTACTTTAAACATACTTAGTCAAAATGTAAATTACCATAGTCATACTTTATACAGACGTAATCAAAATGTACTTACATAGGCATACTTTATACAAACGTAGTCAAAATGTTCATCAACATAGTCATAATTTCTACATACGTAATCATACTAAATATTTACATAGGCGTAATTTATATTTAGCTATACACAATCTTAGTAATAATTTAAGCAAATTTAGTCACCTCCACACATGTTCGTAATTTATACAAAAACAAAGCTATAGGCTTTACACTATTTAGAAGCCACATAATCATTTAGTGATGCTAATGAACGGTTTTTTTTTAACTGTTTAAAAAGTATGTTAGAAAACACAACAATATACTATTTCAAAAATCAAAGTTAGGATTTATTAAGCGTGAGTTTGAATCATTATATTTGTATACTCGTCTTAATCATGTGGTTTTAATAGTTTTATTCACAAAAACTCTTTCTCGGTTCGCGCCGGTTTCGCGTTGAAGAAAATCTCGTGATTTGAGAAAACAGCTGTTACAATCCGTAACAGATTATTAAATTGTTTTTATGTGCAATATCTATTAGCTTTTAACGTTACTGAGATAAAATCATTATCAGAAGTATTTCTATTTTAAAGATATTACTTAACAAACGTAATAAATTTTAAGAAAAAATATGCGTATTTCATGGCTTTGATAAACATAAATTTAAAAAATGGCTATTAGATGTTATTTACTAAAATGTAAATAAAAAATAACAATGTTGCAACTGATGGGTTACAACACTAATTATAACTCATGTGTTCATTATCTTTTGATCATTACCTTGTCACATACCTGTAATAACTAGTTTAGATAAATAATATTTTTATACATATACACATTTATAACCGAATGTCAAATATCATCAACTTTACACTCAAGAACAAACAATTATGCACTGTTTAGAGGCATATATATATATATATATATATATATATATATATATATATATATATATATATATATATATATATATATATATATGCATATATTCAGATATAATTATGTATATAGTTAATAATATTATTATTGAATACCTATTTTTAAGAACACTAAATTGTTGTTAATGACATTTAAAGTTTTGAAAACTAAATAAATGGTGACACGAGCGCTCTGCCGCCTATACCTGAAAGTTAGCGTGGCACAACTTTTATTTTGGTGGTCCGGGGGGGAGGGGTACACTCTCCCAATCCACCCTCCGTCTTCTGTCTATGTCACTCTGTCCTACTTTTTTAACATCTGTTGACAAACTTTTGAACCACTGTTAATTTTTTTTTTAATGCACAGAAATTGGCTAACGTAATTTAAATGTGAGAAATATATGTTTAATCGTAACATAAACGACTATTTGAATGACATACGTTACATGCTACATTACGTTAGTAGTTCTTGTCCTGAATCTGTGGCGCGTGTAGTCAAAATTGTTACAAGTCTACATTACCAAGCTCTTCAGTGTTTTGTAGCTTCCATATAATTAGCAATAAAAAGGATAACTGGGCTTCGCTTGCTAATTCAAGAAAATTTCCGTACAATGTTTAGATAATATTACGGTGTTTATTTTAATTTTCTTCATGACGTAATTAATTAACCATCTACGTCATTTTGTCGTTTTAAACTAAGTAACCGGGAAAATCCGCTGTAAGCTAAAAATAGCTACACTACATTTTTTTTTTAAAGTTACAACTAAAATGGACAAGTGGAAATAAACAGTCGCTCGAAGGACAGGGTGGAATTAAAATAAATATTCACTGACAGGAAGTCAATTTTTTACAATTGTTGCCGTTATTTGCTGAGCTAAATATAGTCGCTCGCCGTCAATGAGCGTTATCTCCCTTACAGTAAATACGTGGGATTTTAATTACGACAGAATAAATAAGCCAAGAATTACAGTGTCGAATCGCTACTATGTCAAAGTCACCAGCAAAATAAAATAAATATTTACAGTTGGGAAAACCCGGTAATTCGGGTGGTATTTTATTAGGCCAAACTGTGAAAAACTGTTCTGGCCAGTTGGTAATTTTAGCCTCAATTTAACGGATTAATAGAGATAAAACGATCACGTCCATGTGTCCTGGTGAAGCGAATTATTATATTAATTATTTTATCTAGTGAGTAATCTGGTTATAAATCCGTCTGATAATCTAACTAACTTACATGTATTAAGTACTTCGGTTTTTACAAATCCATCTCATAGACTAAGTTATATGCAGTAAGCATTCTGGTTTTTACAAATCCATCTGATAATCTAACTAACCCCACCTCTCGCCCGATCTTGAAGAGCGGAGTATTTATCTAATGTCATATGTTCTTCAACGGCTTCTCGGTACCGTCGTCGTTTATTGCCAAGTGTGAGTGTGGAACATTCCCCAGGGTATAGCATTCATAGAGTGTTTAATATTCCGAAAGTGTTAAGTATTCCCAAACTGTTTAGCATCTCAAAACAAACAAAAAATCAAATAGTTTAACGTGAATTTACTAATGAGGACTAACCATTTTTTAAAGAGTGCATTAATAGTGTTTTAAAAGTGTTTAAATGTCCCCCCCCCCCCCTACATCACAAAATAGAAACTGGATGTAGAGTTCACGAGTTTTAATGTGAGTGAAAAAAACTGTCTACCAATTATTGAGTTTTATTCTTTTTTTGTTAGGGTTCGAGGGTTCGATGAAATCAACGAAAACACAATCAATGATATTATGACTATGTTCTGTTGTATACATTTTGTGTTAAACAAATCGCGTCGTCGTGAAATATTTTGGAAGTATACGTTTTTACCTTGATGACAAACGAATGTTTCAGAGTCTAAAGATCAGAGAAAGACTTCGTAGAATTTTTCAGGTCAGGAGCGATGTAGCCATATTGCAAAACGCTGGAAGCTTCATTTGGCTAATGCGAGTTAAAACGCTAATAGCATTAAATTAAATCTAACGAGTATCAAAGATACAATCTCGAAGTTAATTAATAACTAACTAAACTATATCTAGCCCTAATAAAAGCTACATGTCGAATACGCTTTGTGTTAATACTGCAACAATAATTCGGTGTTTGAGGGTATCTGCATCTAAATGGCAGATCATTGAATTAGTGCGCTAGTGTGTGGAGGCTAGTTGCAGAAAACTTTGGTACAAGATACTAGCTACAAGCTGAATACAGCCATTACATGCGCAAGCCCTTAGAATCTTTTTACAGCTAACTGGTGTAACAGCTACTCGCTAGACGCTCCTTTTGGTGTAACAGCTAATGGACAGACTATACACGTAGCTAGTGTACAACTACTGACTACCAGCTACACCCAGCTGTGAAAAAGCTACTGGCTAGCAGCTATACCTAGTTGAGGTAAAAGCTACTGGCTAGCATACTCTTAGCTGTTTAAAAGCTACTGGCTACCAGCTACACCTAGCTGGTGTAACGTCTACTACTAGCTACCAGCTACCACGCTATCCGATCCACTGGGCCTGCTAGTTTTGGCGACATGTTGGAACTAGCCTACATTTAATACTCAACACAAAGCTCCTTCGGTTGCCATGGCTTCAGCTGCTTCCGTTTTCCGGTTTCCATCTTTCCGGTTCCGGAAGATCAAAATAGATGCGAGGTTCTCGGTCGGGTCTGGGTGGAAAAAAGCGGTGTATGTAACGCGGGGGTGGGGTGGTGGATAAGGGAGGGGGGTTATTTCTTTTAAGAAGAGGGGGTCGGGGTGTGGAATAAATTGGAGGTGATTTGTGTTGAAGGCAAGAAAACCGAGGAACCGGTCGTGAGTTCGGAGCGTCGTGTTTATCCCGGGGATATACCAGTGTGAGTACAAAACGGTACGGCTTGTGTGTGGACCTCTGGCCAGGGGACGCTACTGTTGACAAGAGTTGCTGCTCTTGTGTAGAGTTGAGGTTTCCTGACGTAGTAGTTTGTGAAGTGGTACGGTAGTTGTAAAGATATCTATATTTTGTGCTTTTTTTGTTAACAATTTGGACTAATAGAATTAAGACAACTATTGTTTGTTGTTTATATAAAATTTAACTATACAGATCAAAGTGAAACTGCACACAATAGAAAGATGTGTTTTTTTCTGAGTTAGGGTTTTATATATATTTTGTAACTTTAAATAGCGCTGTTATTTTAATGTAAAATGTTATTTTGAGTAAAAAAAAAGCTTTTTTATTAATAAATTGTGATTAAATAAATAAAAATGCGTCATTTTCAAAACAATCTTTTCTATAAACAAAAATATGATGAATATATAGATCTATGTAAAACAGTTTATTTTTAGTTTAAAAAAAAATTTATTTCTATCCATAATAGAATGTAAATATGATTTTTTCTCTTGAAACTTAAGTTTATAATTAATGCGGTATAAATATAAAATGATAAACGCACAGAATTTGTAGTTTCATTTACCGACATGCACAGTTTCTGTTGTAGTTTAGTTTTCCAGAGATGGGGGAGGGTAATGAGAGGAGGAAAGGAGAGGGCGTTGAGTACTGTTTTGGGGGAGAGGGTGTGTTTTTTAAAATTAGAAGAGATTTGTTTCTTTAAAATACACCTGTGTGATGTTAATGTATTACAGTCAACGAGTGTCGATGTTTGCGATCAAATAGCTAAAATCTTGAGTTAGGAGCATTCGTAAAGTGCTAGTTTTAATTTACTACATTTAGCAATGTGACACACTTGGACTTTCAGAGGTTTAAGACACACCCTATGTCTGTCACAGTTTTAAGAGATACTTGTATCGGAAAACTAAGACACGCCTCATGTCTTTCTGAGTTTTAAGACACATGTCTCTCAGTAATCTAAGACACGTCTTTATTTTAAAATTCCAGACTCAGCTTACAGCAAAAATGCCTGGTCGCCCCAGCCCAGTCCTCAGACTCAAGGTAAGGTCACAATTAGTTATGCTAATTATTTATCTTTAAAAAATGTGCTAAAGTAATTTAAAAAGAAACAGAGATGTGAGATGACCTCCCAGATTTGTTGATGGTTAACCAAAATTGTATCACTGATTTTGCTGAAGATTAGAGACGCTACCAGCATTTGATTATTAACTTAGTACAATATTTAGCCCTAGTATAGGCAAACGTATTAGCCTGTTCAGGGAATTTTGTTTAGAAAAAAAATTGTAATAATGGGGGAGGTGGGGTGGGAGATCTCAAAAATAATAGCACATTTTGTTTTTAATTGTTAAAATTGTACTGAAGACGGCTTGTTCGGATGGTATAGCTTACGGCCCCTAACCCAAAAGTCTTAAGTTCGAATCACGGGTTTGGAGGTCCCTGAGTACACCTAGCTCTGATGGGGTACCTGACTCACGTTACAGAAATCAATCCCTTCATATGCCGAGGTCATTGAAAGAAATGAGCACTACTTCATCTACTCCGTGTGTTATGGGTCCGAACGGAAAAAGACCAAGACGATGACATCTGTACTGAATAAACGTTTGTTACAACGATATCATCTCCCCAAAACATCTTGTTATATTTTATCTTAGGTTTAGTAAATCAATATTTTGCTGACTTATATTAAACGGATAACATAATCCTCAACAAAAACAAAACACTTGTAACGTTGTTACTATCTAGTTAAGTTTGTTAAAATTTTAACTGTGTCTTTCATATCTTCCAGACTCCGCCTTCCCCAAGCTGTCTTTGCCCGGGGGACCCCCACCCGTACCCAAACGTAAGTAAACATTTGAAATAATTAGACAATTATTTAGGAATTAATTATGTCTATTTCTTAATCATCCAAAATCTATACTAATTTGAGATTATGTCTATTGTTTAGGCTTTCAAAATGTCGATTACTTAGAAATAACCAGTCTCTTATTTAAACATCCAAAATGTCTACTAATTTAATAATCATTATGTCTTTTGTTTAGACATTCAATATGTCGATTATTTAGACATCGATTACAGTCCTAACCATAAGTCATGAATAATCTTCTTTGCAAATCACCAACGCAACCAAAACTAAATAATCTTCGCTTTGATATGATAACTTGAGAAAATAGCTTCAGATGCTTGATTTTATAAGGACTACACATAGCTGATTAATAAAAATATTTTATTATGTAGTGGGTAATGTAATAAGGTGTAAGACAATACCAAGTATATTGTCTAATGTATTACAACGCATGTAACAACTGTAAACCATGTTCATATTTGTCCACAGCGTACTCACCTTCCTTCTCGAGCGTGGGTAAATCAGGACTGGACACTGGCATGCACGGTGCCCAGTGGCGTGCCTCGCAGAGTGAGTACCTCCCCTTTGTTCCACTATCAGTGTCGTGTGTGTTGTCTCTACCAGAATATATAGCTCTTGTGTAGGGCGTAGATTTCGGTGGCGTAACACGTTTAATTATAAATTATCCAGACTCGTTATTTATGTCCAATAATATATTTGTTTTTCTAATTTAATAATTAATAACCATTATTTTATAAAAACAAAAGTTTTAACTAATTTTTTTTTGGAATAAAATGCATCAAATTAAAAAAAATATCAACCCTGTTTAATATCACCTCCCCCCCCCCCCCCCCGCCCCAAAAAAAAAATCGTGTTTGCCCCCCCCCCCCCCCCCCTGTGTTACGCCACTGACTCTCCTGTTCCTCCCTCTTCCCCAGGTTACACCAATCCGCTGGCCCCGCTACCTAAAAGCCCTCTAGACAGTAGCCACACCCCTTGGAGACCCCAAGGTAAATACCTGTACAAATGTCACGTGCTTCTTATACACCATCTACCTGGGCTGATATATTTCTGCCACCGCCTCCCGGAGCCTATACCAGATTTACAGACTTAATCTTAATCTCTACCTGGGCTGATTATATGTTTCTGCGACCGCTTATACCAGATCTACAGACTTGCTAAACTCTTCCTGGGCTGGTATTCTTCTGCGACTGTCTCCCAGAATCTAAAAGAGTTTCATGCCCATCACTTTATACATTCAACCTAGGCTTATGTTTATCTGACAACGCCCTCCAGAGCTTATACCCTTAATACATGTTGTTATTCTCTACTTAGGCCTATACTTTTCTGCGTCCAACTCTTCGCCCCTCCCCACAACCTAATTAGTTTTAACAAGATCTACTCAGCAACGATGTTCGCAGATCTACAATAATTTCCATAAGTTAACAGCTATGGTCATTACAGGTTCTCATATATTTTGATTGCAGTGGTATTTCACATAAGGTCATTGGTTTCTGTCTCTCTGTCAGTTATATTCTGTCACACTCTCAGCCCCATGTTCCAAAGTTGTCTTCTGTCACACAACTTCGTGTACTAAAATTGTCAATTGTCAACTATCACACTGTCAACTACATGATGTCACATCAGGTCATTGGTTTCTGCCTGTGATGGTACGAAAAAATCTTTGTTTGTAGTTCTTCTTGTTGTACCAGTTGTGAGGGTGGGGATTTTTTTAAGAGGCGGTAACGAATGAATCCAATAACACACAGCTCAAGTTCAACTAAAATTGTTCTTTATTAAAATGATATATATGTTCAAGTTTCTACCTAACTGATCTACACTGTACTATTTACTTCTACTACTGACTGTTCATACCACATGCTACCTACTACTACGCACTCCCATGACCAATCCTAACACTAACTGTTCTCTACATTCTACAACCTAACACCTTCTACCTTCGCTAGCTAATCATGATCTCCTAACTATCTACATTCTCGGCCGTCTCTGACCGCTACCTAACAACTTCTGACCTATCGCTCTACTGCCCCACGCCTCAGTGGTCAGCTGACCGTCCCACGTGACCGGTCAGCCCTGTGCGCCCATTGGCCTCTCTAACCAACCAACTAGGCCTATAGTCTGTTTCTGCTAACCTATATCTGCTAAACATGTCGGACGTAATCTTGCGTCATCACACTGCCTCTCTGTCAGTTATATTCTGTCACACTCTCAGCCCCATGTTCCAAAGTTGTCTTATGTCACTCAACTTCGTGTACTAAAATTGTCAATTGTCAACTATCACACTGTCAACTACATCATGTCACAACAGGCCATTGGTTTCTGCCTCTCTGTCAGTTATATTCCCCCCCCCCCCCCCACACACTTAACTTCGTGTTCTCAAGTTGTCAGTTGTCAACTAACACACTTTCGACTTCCTCTTGTCTACGTTCTCTAGACATTCCATTCGGTCAACAAACGACTGCTAGACAGTTAACTATCCACTGTCACGCTGTTAACAACAAACTAGCATCATTCACCAAATGTCTATTGCCCACTATCATGATGTTAACTACCTCAGACACGCCTACAAAAAGTAAATATATTTATAAACGTAAACAAATAGTTTATTTAAACAATGTTCCATTCCAAATCTATTAATTAGTAATAAGGAGGTTATTCCCACATATTTATGTTAAGTGTAAAAAAAAAACCCACTTTAAACTCGCTTATTTCTCGTTAACTAGTGTCAGATAAAAAATTATATAAATTTTCTTACCTCAGCTTCAATATATATATATATATATATATATATATATACATATATATATATATATATATATAATATTATGGTACGTTTCTAAATCTATACCGAGATTTTCCAGTCATTGAAATAATGGATCAATACAAAAATATATCGATCTAATATTCTGCGATGCCGGTGGTACAGCCCCTCCCCCCGCCCCCTCCCTCCCGTGCAGCCCCCGGGCTAATCTGAAGAACGAAGCCATAGATCTCCGGGACGACAACAAATCCACAGACCACAACGTCAGCCAACATAAAACTCATTCCATTCACTTGTCGAAACTCTAAACCGGAAGCCGTCTTGAAGAGAACCGGAACTGGCAGGGAAGCCATATTAGAAAATGCTTTTAACCGGCACGAGAAAAGAGCAATGGCGAGTGGTGGATTTTTAAAAAAAAAAATTTTCTTCGCGATCGATTTCAGCTTCATAGGGCGTATCGATGAGTTTTTTTTTCGCTATTCAGTTATTGATCTAGAGTAAATATAGGCACAGTTTAGTCATAACAAATGTGGACAAAAACCTCAGTTTTAAAATAGCTGAACAAACACGAGCGAGTGTAAAGGCAAACATTTTAAGTCTCGTAAGTCAACAGAAATGTGTGGTACCTTAACAAACGGATCTCATTCTCGAAAGATTATCCGATTAGCATTTGATCTCAAGAATTCAGTAATTGTTTTATAAACTTTCCAAAGCGACCTGCTTGCGTGTTTTTATTTTATGAAGTTATATAAATTTTAAATAGGATATTTCAGGAAGGAAAATAAAGTTATATTATGCAACTTTTTGTATATAGTTACAAAATTTACGTTGACATTTAATTCATATGCAGGAACTTGTCAAACTTAAAATTAAACTGAGCATAAAGTGGTTGTTTGCTTGGAGGATGGTGATGGCGCGAGTGGTGGGTGGTCTTTTCATCGCCTTTTCCAACCCCCAGTCAATGGACCGTGTGAAGTTTACAACACTTGTCCGCCCGTTTGAGTCGTTTAGAATTTTTTCCACATTTCAAACTTGTTCCAAAACAATTTATGTTATTTTTTAAATTTCTATTTTAAGCATATTTTTTTTTTGAATTATAAGACTAAAACATGACCATAGGTTACAAAAACTTGTAACTTTGGACTGACCGACAATCAATTTTGAAGCTACTAGGGTAGATACTCCATCATTTTCTCCATCATACAGATTTTCATTCATACACTGGATAGTCATTTCATTTAAACATGGATCTAACTCCTGCTTTTTAACTGCATTCTTTTTACTACTTGCTACAGTATCCACAGAAGTTCGCCCAGCACCAGGCATTCCACAATCTCTCACTTTATTTTTCACAATACTAGAGCAGTGGCGTAGCTAGGATTTTTGGGCCCCTATGCAAAAAGTGTTAGTGGGCCCCTCAGAGGCGTAGCGACCCTTCCCGGCGACCGGGGACAAACTTTCGATTTGCACCCCCCCCCCCCTCAAACTTTCGAAAAAGGGCCCCTATTGGCCTTAGGCCCCTATGCCTTGCTTACGCTAGCTTTACGGTAGCTACGCCACTGTACTAGAGCATGATTTAGATCTAGAATAGGGCTTGTAAGTCTCGGTCACTCTCGCTTAAAATTCGAAATCTCGTTAGACAGTGAGAGATATACATTTTCTAACATGCTTTGAACATGATTCCCATTGGTAACAAAAAAACATGGCGGCTATTTGTTTCTGGGTCTCTATTCAAGATTTTAAAATACCAAAAGTAACAACAATGCAACAATTATAAAAAATGTGTCACCTAATTAAATTAAGCATCAGTAGGCCTAGGCTATCAATATTGTATTAGGCTATTAATATTGTATTAATATTGTAACAGTTAAGGATAACTTATTACGGATTTGATAAACAATAACTTACTGTTCGTATCTTTAAAAAAAAAACACGATTTAACGGAGGCTATACTTTTCTTTAAACTAGCCCACATCTTGTAGCCTATCATTAAAATTGTTTAGAAATTTAAATAACATAACAAAAGCGGAAATAATTTTTTCTATTTAGTCATTGTTTTACCGATTTAATAAAAAAAATCGCATTTGGTTTGGAAAATACCAGTTGGCACGTACAAGAACGAGAAGTTAGTGATTATCAACAAGCAGGGGCGTAGCGAGGGGGGTGCGGGGGGTGCGGACCGCACCGGGTGACACCATTTAGGGGGGTGACACCAAGGCAAAAAATAGCAAAATATATAGAGAAAAATGATAATTCCACTTAATTTAGTGCAGTGTTTCTTCCAGACTTTTTTCTCCGGGGGGGCACTTGAAATCTTCGGGGGGGGGGGGGCGGTAAACTTTCTTCGGGGGGGGGGGGGGGCGGACACTGTTAAAAGTATATATTTTTTATATAAATTATATAAATTTGATTTCGTTCGGGGGGGCGAAAAAATTTTTCGGGGGGGCAAAGCCCCCCCGAAGAGATGCCTGGAAGAAACTCTGATTTAGTGATTAATTAGAGTGTTAAATAGTCTTTTAAGAGGTGCAAATCGAAAGTTTGAGGAGGGGATGCAAATCGAAAGTTTGAGGGGGGGGGGGGTGCAAATCGACAGTTTGAGGGTGGGGGGGTGCAAATCGAAACTTGAAAGTTTGTCCCCGGGAAGGGTCGTTGCGCCTCTGGGGGGTGACACCATTAAGTGCCGCACCGGGTGACACCCGACCTCGCTACGCCACTGCCAACAAGTCCTATTTAGATTGTAAATTTTAAATTAACTATATTTTTTCCAGTTTAAAAATTTGTTTATTGGTTCAATTGTAGTGCAGTTAAAAGTTATTTATTTTAAGGCTTTTATACCAGTATTTTTCCCTACTGTTAAGCATTTTAATATTGTAAATATATAACATTAAATAATAATAAGTAAAAAAAATGCATTTAATAATATAATCCTTCATTTCAAGCTTATTATTCGTAAGTAAAGAGCCTTAATGACTATATCCTATAGTTTAATTGTACCTAATATTCTCATTGAAAAATAAGTCTACATTAATATTTTCTGCTTCTAATTAATTTGTAAATTTCTCTAACACTTATAACATTCAATGTGAATACCAGTTCACCTGAATAGCTGATTGGTGTCTACTACTTCAGTGTTTCCACACTTAAAAAAAAATTATTAATGCTTTTTTTAAATTTTTAATAACTATTTAAATGTAAATTATTTTAAAATTTAAATATTCTGGTGTTGCA